AAATTGATTTACCTACTTAGCTTTCTAACAATTTGTCTTAGTGATTTTTTTTACTGATGAGAAAATTGAGTGTATTTGATAGTATTTGCATGTAACTTACTACAAAACTAAAAGTTTTTTTTTACATTAAAATCACAGTTGATAAACTGTAACAAAGATACTTTTTCTTATACTTGACTTCTTAAGAAAATGATATTAAAATGCAGATTGAGGTGACCGATTACAAGTATTCATCTACATATATAGATATATGTACGCCCGCTACCCCTAGTGGAGTATAGGCCACCGACCAACATTCTCCAACCTACTCTGTCCTGAGCCTTCGTTTTTGGTTCTGTCCATCGGTTGTTCATTCTTCTCATGTCTGTCTCTATTTCTCGATGTGATGTGTTGCTTGGTCTTCGTCTTTTCCTTTGACCTTGAGGATTCCAAATGAGAGCTTATTGTATGAGTAGGTTGGAAGAAGGCTAGGGGCGGCCAGACCAAAACATGGCACAAATCCATGAAATCACTGACGACAAGTGGACTGAGTCATGTTGGTAGATGTAGACTACCTGGTTGGGGTCCGCGAGACGAAAGTCACCAATGGTTAGAGAGCTTGAACGAAATGGCTCAAAATCGTTTGCAATGGTGCAAGTGCATCCATTCTTTGAGCTCTCTCAAATCCTAATCTTCTGAATTCGTCAGCACCTCTACCTTTGTCTGCTAACCTTATCTCGCTGAATTATACTTGTTGAATAATATCTTCAAATCCTAGTCTTCTTCATTACCATTAATACCTCTACTATCTTTATCACTCTTGGATTTGATTTGACATTTGCGTCTGTGTGCTAATGTAGTATGGCAAGATGAACTTATGTACATACGTACGAAGTTCTACGTTGCAACTGACTGACTGACTGCTTATTGTATGACGTAGTTAGGTGCTTTCGTCAATGTGTATCCTATTCAATATTATTATTACTTTTAGTATTATTCATACTATTGATATTGATAATGAACCCATTGAAATCAGGTTAATAATCAATAAAAGATTGTCTTTATTTATTTACCAATAATAGTTCTATGAAAACTGCTTCTTATCAAATGTGTGTATATACCTAATCTCATTTGATCTATCCCGATTGATAATAGAGTTAATCAAGTTGTAATATTACTTTTTAAAAAATCAATATCTTGTCTCATTTTATTTCTGTCTTCCCTCTAGCAATAATAGTATTGCTATTGTTACTGATTGAATGAAATTTGATTGTTGAATAAAAGAGAATAAAACTAATATTGTATTCGTCATAGACTGACTAGTGCTCAATTCAATTAGAGTTTAGCAAATAACCTGAAAGTTCTCATTTCAGATTTTTGTGTGGCGTTGTGTGTGTGTGTGTGGGTGTGTACTGTGGTGTGAGCTACTTATAAGTAGTATATGACGTGAGTGTCAACGTAATGTCTGGCAGCAGAAAATGAGGGGAAGATCAAGAAAGAAAGAGTTAGAAAACAATGGAATTTGTATGAAACGCATAAATAGTGACAATGGATTGTTGATGTTTTGCAACAGGAACAGTCCAGTTCGATATGATGAACTGATATTTTGCAAATGAACAATTTACGATATGGTTTTCCGATTTTACTGAGTAACTCTGTAATTTTCGTTAAATACAATTCGGTTGCCCCACCTGTGTTCTCGTTCACTACAGTACTACTGATGGCTTCATATTAGGACGAAAGCGCTATTCAGGGGGGCGCCCTGGTTTTGACCAGTAGATGAACTAAGATCATTATGTAACGATTAGTATTTATAGAATAAAATTAATATCTTGTGATTGATTATCATGTATGCAGAAAAAATAATTTGGCAAGAAACACAAAAAATTTCGTCATTTGTTTTTAATATACATGTATGTATTGATTTGTATGCTGACTACTTCCTCTTAATCAGTTGAACTTTCGCAGAAATAATTTAGTTTTATAACAATATCTGTCATGTCTTTTTTGTTTTCGAAATGATTTACTTTATTTACTTACTTTCGCATTTTATCCTAGAATAGTTCAACTTACTATGTCGTCAGCCTCCCTTTCCAATTCTGTCCAATGTTTGTTCATTCTTCTCATGTCTTTCTCTATTTCTCGGCGTAATATGTTCTTTGGCCTTCCTCTTTTCGTTTGAATTAGAGGGTTTCATGTTAAGGCTTGTCATGTGACACAAATGGGTGCTTTCTTCAATGTGTGTCCTATCCACTTCCGACGTTTCGTCTTGATTTCTACCTCCACTGGAATTTGGTTTGTTCTCTCTCACAGTAGGATGTTGCTGATAGTGTCTAGCCAGCGAATCCGAAGCATTTTGTGTAGACAACTATTAATAAACACTTGTATCTTGTGGATGATGGCTTTCATATAGTACTCCAAAAAAATTGTTAACTTGTAATTCAATATTTCATGAATATTTTTCTTAACATCCCTAATTAACTGTTGACTAAGTAGTTTGTGTAACTAATTATTTATGTTAAATTGAATAAATAACAGGTGATTGTAACAGAAATGTAGATTTTTGTTTTCAAAAACATCTGTTGCTTTTAACTGATCCGATACTTGGACACACATACACACACACACACTGGCCAAAATGAAGCATATTCTCTGTCCAATAAATATGTTGGAGAAAAATAAACTACGTTGTTAGATGCAGGATCAGTATTGTAATTACGACATAAAGTAATGTATTAATGTTGACTGAGTTTTGTAATCAATTGGTTAGACTGTTTTCAGTATTTTCCAAAAAAGCAACCAAGCTTCATTATACTTGTTGTTTTCATGTATTGTTGCTAACCGATGACCTTCACAGATAGAGTTGTTAAATATGAAAATGAATAGATTTTTATAGATATCATAGAATTCTTATATTTTCTAAATCATCAGCTGATCTTATTAGCTAGACCACTAGTGAAAATCAACTATATTGTGTTAGTATAAGATTCTGCAGTGGTTTACTTCCACAACTCTGCAACGATGAATTGAACCCAGAACCGTCTGTCTTGTTAATGAACGCCTAACTTCTAGATCACTGAATCAGCATCCAGTGGTGTTGATGTCCTAACTTCAATCAATTCATGATATTGCTCATTCCTTATTTGTTGCTTCCAGTGGATAAATGTCTTAAATCCGACAGGGTTCAACACTACTAGTTATGGCTTCTCTTTACAACTTAAGGAATCGCATTTTGAAGCTAGTCACTAATGAGGAGGACATGTTGATTATCATCAGTACAGGATTTTGTAGAGATCATATAAGTCTGTTGGTTTTAAAATCATTAATTTGTACTAAATACTAACATCAATTTCCAAGAGCCGATTCACTACTTGATTTAGAATTTGCGTGGAAAAGTTAATTGTATTAACAGGCTGCCAAAATTGAAATAAGAGTGTAGTGAACGAGAACACAGGTGGGGCAACCGAATTGTGTATAGCGAAATTACAGAGTTACTCAGTAAAATCCGAAAACCATATCGTAAATCGTTCATTTGCAAAATATCAGTTCATCATATCGAACTGGACTGTTCATGCGTTTCATACAAATTCCATTGTGTTCTAACTCTTCCTTTCTTGATCTTCCCCCATATTATGCTGCCAGACATTACGTTAACGCTCACGTCATATACTACTTATAAGTAGCTCACACCACAAGAGAATGAAGCTTTAAATCTGAAACTTTTTTTAGTTGGAGGTCAAATATTTCTTACGTTACTGTTTATGAAAACATGAAAACTGAAAATGCTTTTTGATTGTGATAATTTAAGATGTCCAGTACATTTTCAATTTCATTGTTTAAACTTCTAAACCCCACGGAATTTTACATATATTAACCATTTGAAGCCTAGGTAAATGACATTAGTTAATTGAACACAGGAACATAATTCAAGTGTCATTAATTCAAACAATAGATAAATGGACAATAAGTTAAACATTCACACTGTTGGATGCTGGCCGGCTCAGAGGTCTAAAGCTTAAACGTTCACACTTGAGAAAAAGTACTAATCCCTGCAAATAGCTAGAGTCGTGGATGTGCACTGCTGATGAGTCCCATACCAGGACGAAACAGCCGTTCAATGCTTTTAGGTTTCTAATGATGATCTAACATTGATCAATTCATGATTGCAAAGTAAGATTTGACTGCAGTCTACAATTTAAGTGTTCTGTTGTGTAATCATTACTTTCGAAGGTCAATTTATACAACTTCGAAAATTCAGAGACTAGAATCCAATACATCAGTCCACCAATATTGATAAATTGAACGAGAAATCGATTAGCGCAATAGTTTAATTTATAGATGCCTAAATGTATTCCGTAGGGAATCATAGACCTATGATTTTGTTAGGGACGTTAGATCCCTAGAACTCTCTTGATAAATGCCTTATTTTGGATTTCACGTTCGCTAGCATGGGCTGATTAGTTGACCTTGAGATTTCATTTCCCACCAGGAAAATCCATGGCTGTGATTCGCTACTATGTATTTTAGTGTGTTATTTTTGTGACTGTACCAAGGACGTTTCTATAATGCATAAAGAAACGAGATCTGTGTGCTTAATTGTATTGTGATGGCTGGGTGTTTGTAGAATATAGTTTCTATGCTTATCAAGATTTCTCTTTTGAATTTTGGGGATCAAGGTAGCCTACCTGGACGCTGGGTTATTGTCTCGTTCGCGTTGATCGACTAAGGTGAACTCGTAATAGCTTCAAGCGTACCTAGCGATAAACCTAACAGATTTTTACTAATTGGTTCTCATCAGCATGGCACACCTTCCATCTTCAGCATACTGATAATGTCTGTGCTTTGATTAGCCAGCTGAAATTTATAATAATTCTTACAGAAACCATAAAAATATGTATGTATACATGAACGATTTAAAATGACAGTATATTGAACATTGATTTATGTATATATATTGTCTATTTTTTTTCCTCTTGTTTTAAATTGTCTAAATTAGATTGGCAGCAGATGCTTTATCATCTATGTCTGAAAATGAACAAGATCAAATTCATTTAACTAACAATTCCCTTTCCACTAATCATTATGATGAATTAATGAAAACCGATGAAATTTTCATTCATCCAACTACTGATAATAATAATAACATGAAGAAAAAATGTTTACACAGTATTAAACGTGTACATAAATTAATTGAAGAAGAATTATTGATGGAATATGATATGAAACCGAACAATAAGACAACTACACAAACACCGCCGTCAACCAGCACCACAACCACAACCACAGCCACACCGACATTAACTACCATTGTTGATTATGACAATGAAATGAGTCGACGGAATAAATTATCACGATATCATGAACAGAATGAATTTTCTACACCGTGTCATATGATTTCCAATAAAAAAGATCCTAATCGACCATTTATGTTAACGCCAAAACATTGCACTAAAACAACATCGACACCAACAAGTCTACTGTATGATTTATTAACAGGTACAGAGAATTTTGATTCTGTTTATATGAGAAGTCAACTAGTGTTTGTTACATGTGAACAAACTAAATCAATGAATCGACGTAAAATCAATCATTCAAGACGTCGTAAATCACTGAAACCAAGAAAACGTTTAAACAGTATACAATACATGGAAACTTCTATGAGTAGTAATGATAGAAAAGTTTTTGAAGAAAATCATTTAGATGAGAAATTATCATCGTCTTCACCGCTATCCGCCTCCTCCTCCTCCTCCTCCTCGTCGTCGTCACCTTCTTCGTCCTCACCGTCATCATCGCTGTCATCTTCTTCATCGTCATCTATGTTGAGCCCGTCACAGTTGAATTTATTAACATGTTCTCAGGTCTCTCCACACAAATTATTCGATGGAATTGAATATTTGAAAAATAATCACATGTTACATTCCCAATCACAGATTAATCATTGTTCCACTGCGTGTTCGGATACTGTCACTAGCGTCACCACCTCATGTACAACCTCCACTATGGTAAACAATCATGAGTGTTCTGAACAACCACTCGACTTATCCTCAGCCTCTTGTCATTCCAATCAATCAGCTATATGCAATAATAACTTCAAATTTAATAATATTCCTCAATCAAATATAATAATTCCAAAAAGAAGGCGAAGTTTTGCCGGTGATTTCGATTATTACACTCCACGATTATCTAATAATCCAAATATTATACGACATAATTCAGTAACATTGCCTATATCTCCAAAAGTCAATAAATTTCGGTGGAATTGTATGAATTCAAATCCAAATACTACTACTACCAGTAATAATAGTAGTATAAAACTTGAACATAATACATCAGAATTAAAAAATACTGAACAAAAATCAAATGTAAATAATCTTGCTAATACATTATTATTGAACAATAGTGATTCTATTTTACAAGGATCTAATTTACTTAGTTTAATTCTATCACCAGTTTGTTATCAAATTGCACTATCCACTGCATTTGCTTTATGTGCATCATCGATTTTTCAGTCTTTCAGTAATATCATTAATCGATCAAATCATTTCTCTAATTCATCATTTATTAATAATAATAATAATAATAATCTTAAAACAACAAATGAACTAGTCCAAAATCAACATTTTTCATCGAAATTCAATCAATCGCCAGCATCATCATCAACATCATCATCGTCAGAATCATCAGTTGAAACTCCAAAAACTGTACATAAACAACATTCCCCAGCAGTATCATCAAAGTTCAATGTAAAAAAATTCAATTCATTGTTAAAATTAAAAACCGGTGAAAATGTTCCATTGAAAAAATCCACTACAAATTTATGTTTCTTCCCAAAAACTACACAACTATCATTGAATGATCAGACAAAAAAGCATTTGAAGCAAAAAATAAACAAATCTTCATGCACCACGCCTCATGCAATTTATCAACATTCCAATAAGAAAAAGCATAAAATCAATAACAATGTTGTTACACAACTAGCTGACAGTGAGGATGATGAGGATAAGACTGATGACAATGTGATCAATGCTCAACATTCCTTTATCGCTTCATCTTTTAAAAATTCCAGTCAAGAGTCAATGTTTTTTTTTAATCAATTAAAACAATGGTTTATACAAATGATCAATTTAATTGAACGACCAAAATTAGCAATGATTTCTTTTGTACACAAAAGGTATCATAATATAACAAAAGTGAAATCAAGAAAATCTCTAGAAAAATTATCAAATCTATCAACGTTATTTAAAACAAATCTATTAGATCAATCATTTGATAATCGATTGAAACTTTTAAACAAATCATGGTATCGATTATTGATAGTTTATTTAATTGAATATAAACAATTGAATTGTTTGTTGACAATCAATTCATCGCTGTCGCCGTCGCCGCCATCCTCTTCGCCACTGCCACCAACTGATGACAGCAAATTGAATGAGGAAAAATTTAAATCTATTGAACTGATGAATTTATTTCATGATGATATTCAATCGATTGCATCAATATGTTATGCATTGAAATTTACACATTCAATGTACAATTTACTTCGTATTGGTTTATTAATTTTAGGTAAGATTTATTGGAAATTTTATTTTTTTTCTGATATGATTTTCGCTTTTTTTCAAAAAAAAAAGATTTTGAATGCTCTGATAGAAGTTTTTATTATCAATTGATATTAGTTATACATAACGGTTAGGGCGTTCGCACACAATACAGAAGGTCCTGGAATCGGATCCTGCGGGGTGCAGGGGTCGTGGGTGCGCACTGCTGAGGAGACCCATACTAGGACGAAACGGGCATCTTTCAGTGCTTCCATGTTTCTAATGGTGGTCTAACATTGATCGATTCATGGTTTCAAAAATGTGTAGCATAAAAATTCATAAAAAAAAATGAAATCTAGAATTTTTCATCTTGTGATTGAATGTAACGCGAATAGATAAAATTGCGCGGGAACCTATTGATTCATTGATTCAATTTTTTAATAGAGTCAACTTGTGATCATAGCATAACATTTTAACTCTTAGTCAATGATCAATAAAACATAATTTTCTTTTCGAATTGTAGTAAATCCAAGGAGGATTACAGAATGTGTAAACTCTCACTCTTCGGAGATAATTTAATTTAATATGACATTAATTCACAGGTCAGTCAATCAGTCAGATGCAACGTGGAGCTTCATACGTAAGTACATCAGTTCATGTTGCCATACCACATCAGCACAGAGAAGTAATCGTCAATTCAAATCCAATAGTAGAAGAAGTAGTAAAGGTATAAGAAGTAATCGGACAGGTTAGGATTAGAACATATTATTCAAGAAGTATGATTTAATGAGAAAAGTTTAGAAAGTCAAAACTAGAATTGTTGAAGAATCCAGAATATTAGGATTTGAGAGGACATAAAGAATGAATGCACCGGAGCCATTGCAAACGGTTTTGAGCCATAACATCCAGCGTCGCTAACCATCGATTATTATCATCTTGCGGACCCCAACCACGTAGTCGACACCTACCAAAATGACTCAGTCCACTCGTCAATGACTTCATGGATTTCTGCCATGTTTTGGTTTGGCCGCCCCTAACTTTCTTCCAACCTATTCCGACACTGCAAAACATAGCTCGTCGAGGAGGTGGGTGGTTAGGTATACGCAGCACATGTCACAACCACCTCAACTGATGAAGTTTCAACACTTCATCTATTGATCTGCCATTCTTACCTGGCACCCGTTTCCTAATAACAGTGTTGTTTACTCGGTTGTACCACGATATACGAGCAGTGCTTCGAAGTCACCTATGATCGAAAACCAGTAACCTACGAATATCTTCTACTCTCATTGGCTATGTTTCACAGCCATAAAGTAAGACGGAGCGAACTACTGCACAGTACACTCGTCCTTCAATCAGCAAACGGATATCTCGCCTACGCCATTAGTGACGCAGGTTGGCAAAAGCTAATCGAGCCTTCTGTATCCGTGCTGAGATTTCGTCAGTCACCAGGCCATCAGCACTGATCAGACTCCCAAGATAAGTGAAGCGGTCTACACGTTCGACTACTTCACTCCCTATCACTAGTTCAGGTGCCGATGCAACCCAATCTCGAATCAACATTTTGCATTTCGAGGGGGAAAACCGCATCCCGAACAGCATTTTTGTCTTGTTGATTTTTGAAAAAAGTTGATTTCCTATTCTTTATTTGATTTTGATGTAAACATTACATGTGAATTACTAGATCAATCAGTTAGTCAGTCAGTCAGCAACAACGTAGAACTTCATACGTATGTACATTAGTTCAAGGTGCCATATCATATTAGTACACAGAGATATGCAATTGTCAATTCACATCAAATAGTAGTAGAGGTCGTAAAAGTATTAACAATAATCGGAGAGATTAGAGTTCAAAGACATTAGTCAAGAAGTAGAATCTAGTGAAATATACGTAAAAATAAAAAGATAAAGATGATGAAGAATTCATAAGATTAGAATTTGAAAGAACACAAAGAGTGGATGCACTTGCGCCATTGCAAACGGTTTTGAGCCATATCGTTCAAGGTCTCTAACCATCGGTCACGATTATCTCGCGAACCCTAACCAAGTAGGTAGTTTACACCTATCAACATGACTCAGTCCACTTGTCAGTGACTTATTGGATTTGTGCCATATTCTGATTTGGCCACTCCTAGCTTCCTTCCAAACAACCCCTGCACCACACCGATTACTAGATCATCAATCAATAATCGATAGATTACCAAAAGGGTCAATACAGCGATATATATATATATATATATATTCATACCTTGGACTAATTATCTATATAATATTTGATAACCTTTTATCTGTCTGAAATAATTTAATAAATCTCTATCAGACTGTAATCATGCTAAGAGTTTAAAGTGAAAAAAAGGTATTTGATTCGTTGAATCATACAGAGTTTATGAAGTGATTATTTACCTAAAATTATCTTCGCAAAGCCTACCGACTGCTTGCTAAATATTTTGGGTAAATACAACAAATAAAAGCAGTTGATTTTAAATAAAATATATTGACTTTTGCCAACCTACGTCACTTATGGCGTAGGCAAGATATCCGTTTTCTGAATAAAGGACGAATGTACTGCGCTATAGTTTGCTCCGTCTTACTTTATGGCTGTGAAACATAGCCAGTGAGAGTAGAAGATATTTGTAGGTTACTGGTTTTCGATCATAGGTGTCTTCGAAGCATTGCTCGTATATCCTGGGACACCCGAGTAAGCAATGCTGTTATTAGGAAACGAGTACTAGGTAAGGCTGGCAGATCAATAGATGAAGTAATGAAACTTGATCAGTTGAGGTGGTTAGGACATGTGTTACGTATGCCTAACGACTGACTGTCTCGTCGAGCTATATTTTGTGGTGTAGGAATAGGTTGAACGAAATCTAGGGGCGGCCAGACCAAACCATGGCACAAATTCATGAAGTCATTGACGAGTGGACTGAGTCATTTTGGTAGGTGTCGACTACCTGGTTGGAGTGCGCGAGATGATAATAATCGATGGTTAGATACCTTGAACGACATGGCTCAAAACCGTTTGCAATGGTGCCGGTGCATTTATTCTTTGTGTCCTCTCAAATTGTCATCTTCTGGATTCGTCAATACCTCTAGTTTTGCCTTTCTGACCTTATCTCACTGAATCATACTTCTTGAATAATATCTTCAAATTCTAACCTCTCTGTCTACTTCTAATACCTTTACTACCTCTACTACTATAGGACTTCAATTGACAATTACACCTCTGTGCTCATGTGGTATAGCAACATGAACTGATGTACGTACGTAGGTAGTTCTAACTTGCTATTGATTGATTGATTCAAACTAATATATATATATATATATATATATATATCACTGTTCAATCTATAATGCAACTTATCTACTTATCATTATCATAATTATGATCAATACAATTTATTCTATTTTCAAATATACAATCAATCATAAATCGAAATAGTACACTGATTCATTAGACATTGATGTATAAGATTTGTTAAAAAACAGAAAAAAAACTGACCCAGACATTGTGACTTATTATAACAATTTACATTTTAGTTCATCAAATTTTTTACATTCAAAATGTTATTATATCCTTCATAATTTTAAACATTCTTTCCAATTTATGTTTAATTGTTTAGTTAATCTATAGTAGTTTATTTGTCTCTTTGCGACAATCATCATCATCATCATAATCACAAAAAAAACTGTCAACGAAATGATTCTCAGTATTCTAGTCAAACAAATCCACATTCTTTTACCTTCTTTGTTTGTGTAAATATATTATTGATGCTTTGTCATGACTATGACTAGTATTCACCGATTTGATCTAATAATAAGGAAGTTTTTTTTAAATTGACGGAATATATTTTATTCTTGTCATTAAATTATTCATTGAAATCTTTGTAATCATACAAACATTGGAAGGATGTGTATAATAATTGTTGTTTTACGCATTTGAAATCATCAATAATCTTCTGCATAACTCTAATTGAAGAATCGTAAAATGTGCTTACTAATGACTAGTTTCGTGAAGAAATTCTCGGAGTTCTAGTTGAGAAGACGTGGAGACCAACTTTGTCGGGTGTAGGAAGCAACTAGTGAAGGCAAATCGGCGAGGTTGCGCAAAATCTTTAGACAGTGACACGGTTGGAAGCCGGCCTAGTGGTCTAGAGGTTAGGTGTTAGCGCACAAGGCCGAAGGTTCAGGTTTCGAATCCTGCGAGGTACAGCTGTCGTGGATGCCTACTGCTGATGAATCCCATACCAGGACTTTACGGTTGTCCATTGCTTGCGGGTTTTTATTGGTGATCTAACAATGTTTGACTGATGATTTCAAATGTGTAAAATATTATATAATTGACTTGTACTTGACAAACTTACTCTACCGATTGAGTAAGTTATCATAAACATGGAAGCCACATATTGTTACTAAATGTCTTGATTTTAGGACTAGTCATGAATAGTTCTCGTCTGTTTACGTACTCAACATCCCCCAGTTCTTGATGTGAAAATTATTAATTTGAAGTGTGATGTTTGTTTGCTATAGTTTCAGTCAGTTTTCAATTCACCGTTACTATTATTCAACACAATAAGCAGATAACTGTACTTCTCCACCAGCATGCTCGATTCCTAAATCTACAGTTTTTCACTGTAACAAATAACGAGTGTTACAGCTAGGATGAAGTATATGGGCAGCCTGTAATTGGCTTTGTTCAGATCTTCACTTGGCTTTCATTTCATATAACTAGTCAGTACAATAAATCTATGTAGCACTTTGGTGATTACTGGGTTTTTAATAAGTTTCGTAATTGTAATTTTGTGGTTTGATCAAATTGCCTCATGTTGTGATGTTTACAAAAATGTTCAGTATTTCATCAACCAACTTTGAAAATTCAACTTCAATCGATTTTCGTTTTAATCAAGTGTAGGCGTAATTAAATGTCGGCTTTCATTACATTACATTCTTTTTTAGTAAGTATAGCCAGATATTACTATATACACATAAAAATCCTAATCTAAAAGTAGTATATATTAGTATTGATATTGTATTTTTCTTTGAATGTGTAGTTAGTTTTAAATTCCAAAAAACTTTTCATAAGGTCCCGGGTTCGAATCCTGCGAGGTGCAGGAGTCATGGATGCGCACTGCCACTGATGAGTCCCATACCAGGATGAAACGGGCGTCTTCCAGTGCTTTCAGGTTTCTAATGGTAGTCTAACAATGATTGATTGATGATTTCCAATGTGTAAAAACACAAACCTCCATAGCTCTGCTTGAAAAAATCATAATATTATTTATTCTTTCAATTGATTCCTATTTTGGTTTATTTTTCTTCTCTAGGCAATGATCAAGAAGCTCAGTCAATCGGTAATATTGATTTACTGGAACAAGCACTACTGGAATATTTAGTCACTTCAACAGACATCAATAAGAAGTCCGATTCCAATTTAAACTTATCATCACAAAGCTGTCAAACATTAAATATCAATCATTCTCATAGTTCAACTACTACAACTACTACAACTACCAGTGTTCATTCTGATGTGCTCAACTGTAGCAATATGAGTAACAGTAGTAGTAGTAGTAGTAGTAGTAACAGCAGTAGCAACGACAACATCTCTATCGATACCTTATCATCTATGATACATATACTAATTGAGAAATTATTAAATCTCACTAAAGATTCAATTATTTTCTCAGTATCTAATCAATTAGGTGATTCTGTTGAAGAATTATTCCATAGCTTGATCAAAATCTCACGAACCTAATTTTCCAACAATATTCATTGTACATTAAGTTTTTTTTCTGTTTTGAGTTTTGCCGATAATTTTTTCTGTTCTTTTCTTTTTAATCCATACTTTGTCTTCAGTTTGTTTTCAATTGTTTATAACTATTACTAGTACTATTATTGTTAATGAATTAATATATGATCTTTTGTTTAAATGAATGCGCCCCGAGTAAAATTGAACACATTGAACATAAATATTAATTATAGTTATTATTATTATTATTATTACTATCAACCCGCCCATTGACTGATAGTGAGTGAAATGAATATGAGAATTGTTATAATTCTACTACCTCATAAAAAAGAATAATAACAATTTATTTTGATTTATTTCATTAACTACTTAATTAGTGAATTAAGTAGTGAATTAACACGTTCCATTTGGTTTCACAAATTTTTTTCAAAATTTATTTTTTATTGTGCTCACCAGTTTGTTTTTTTTGTATAATTATTTATTCCTATTTATTTATTTTTTTGAATATATAAAAATATTTCCAGTGAATAGTTAGTTTTATCTTTGAAATGATTGTAGAAATAATGTTGAAAATCCACTTAATGCATTCATTTATTACACATGACAAAATGAACTTTAAAAATTTACTTACGCGGTGTACTTGAACATCAATTTTTCTCTTGTGTGTTTAAAAAACATGAATTTATTATTTTTGTTTAAATTATTTCATATATTCAATCTCATAATTTCAATGTTCAATCCTCTTCTTCTGGTTTGTTTTTTTGTTATAAATAGTATTATTATTATTATTATTGTTAAAATGCCGGTGAAATTGACAGAAAGCAGCACAATTGAAATAAATCAATAAATTTTTTTATTCGATAATAGAGGATGTAATTTTGTTGAATAATCTTTTTTTTTACTTGCTCATTCTTATTACTATTATTAGTATTATCGCTTTGTATAATCACTCCTTTTCACGTCTTCTTCATATTTTTTGTCCATTTGAAAATATCGCTTCATTTTTGTTGATTTATTCTACATACTACTAATTGTTGGATAAAAGTAGTATCATATTTAAAAATTCATGAAGGGATTAATCAATGGTTGGTTTATGGCAAAAAAAATGAATCTTATTTTATCTCTTCAATGATGGTTTCTTCTCAGTACACAAATTTTTTTGGTTTTTCATCTTTTTCTAAATGTCTCTTTTTGTTTTTCTAATTTGTTTCCAGTTTTTTTTCCTTTTGAATTCAATGTACTTTGTTTTAGTTTTCTTTTGTGTCAATTGGTTATTGTGTTTGTTTTAGTTTTCTTCGGTTGGTTATGTATATAGATGAGGGTAATAAATTATTATTATTCAGAAAAAAAAGTGAATAATTTTTAAAATCATCCGTGTTCTTATGTTATTATAAATTAAAAAATGTATTTTCAACAAACTTGTTGATAGTTATAGAATTAATTGAATTTTGATCGATATTTGTAGTGTAGTGAACGAGAACACAGGTGGGGCAACTGAATTGTATTTAACGCAAATTACAGAGTTACTCAGTAAAATCGGAAAACCATATCGTAAATCGTGTTAATTTGCAAAATATCAGTTCATCTACATCGAACTGGACTGTTCCTTTTGCAAAACATCAATCCATTGTCACTATTCATGCGTTTCATACAAATTTTGATTGTTTTCTAACTCTTCCTTTCTTGATCTTTCCCCCCATCTTCTGCTGCCAGACATTACGTTGACACTCACGTCATATACTACTTATAAGTAGCTCACACCACAGTAGGTGCATGTGTAGATCACCCTTTGGCACAGATATTTTTTCATAGAAAATGGATCGTAATCAACAGTGAAATACTAACAAGGGGATAAATCATATCCTTCTTTATAATAATATAAGTATGATGCTCTTTAAACGATCTAATTTAAATGTGGACTCAATAGTTTACTGGATTGATAACACGATGAGCATCCGAAGTAAAAAGTATTGGTTTTGAGACTCAATGTAATTGTACATAGACATTGAGTTGCTAATATATTACAGCTAATAAGTCCTAAGCTAGCTAAAATACGTACTCTATATTTCACTACTGTTAACAGTTCTAGCGAAAAAATCCCTTTTGAGTATTCGCGTTTTGAGATGGTGGAGAAGACTTGTAGCTCAGGTGGATGATTGTTCTCTGAGCTCAGAGAACAAAACACCACCACAAGTATTCGTGTTTATTTGACAATGCTGTCTGTGTGTATGATTAAGTTGAAAAGTAATTTTGAATACATGAAATATTTTCGAAGAAACGTTCTACACAAGGGTTAAGTATAACTTATTTAAGAATCAGGTCATTGTAAGCAAAGCGAAAGTTTATTCTGTCGGCTACTGAGCCATAGCTACGAAATATCATAAATTAATTGAAATTAGACATTAACACCTTTGGGTACCTTCTCCGTCGTCAGAAACTTGAGCGTTCTAGATGTGGAGTCGTGAATGAATACTACTGAAGAGTAACACTCTAGGAAAATGATATTGTTGATTCTATTACAAGTTGACCTTAATAGGTAAACAGAACGAAGATCAACGATGCAGTGACACACGATAGGCTATTCTAATTCGATTATCGCAGGCCTCGCTAACTAAAGGAAGAAGTCTTGATAACACTTGGAGAGAATGTATTTCACAAGCACCTAGAAAATACGAGGTTCATAAGCACACAAATTAAGCTTATTTATACATCAACAATCCATTGTCACTATTCATGCGTTTCATACAAATTCAATTGTGTTCTAACTCTTCCTTTCTTGATCTTGGCCCCATCTTCTGCTGCCAGACATTACGTTGATACTCACGTCATATACTACTTATAAGTAGCTCACACCACAGTAGGTGCATGTGTAGATCACCCTTTGGCACAGACATTTTTTCATAGAAAATGGGTTGTAATTAATAGTGAAATACTAACAACGGGATAAATCATATCCTTTTTTTATAATAATATAAGTATGATGCTCTTTAAACGATCTAATTTGAATGTGAACTCAATAGTTTAGTGGATTGATAACACGATGAGTATTCGATGTAAAAAGTATTGGTTTTGAGACGCAATGTAATTGTACATAGACACTGAGTTGCTAATATATTACAGGTAATAAGTCCTAAGCTAGCTAAAACACGTACTCTGTATTTCACTACTATTAACACTTCTATCAAAAAAATCACTTTTGAGTATTCGTGTTTATTTGACAATGGTGTGTGTATGATTAAGTTGAAAAGTAATTTTGAATACATGAAATATTTTCGAACAAATGTTCTGCATAAGTGTTAAGTATAACTCATTTGAGAATCAGCTCATTGTAAGTAACGAAAAAGTTTAGTCTGTTGACTATTGAGCCATAGCTACGAAATATCATAAATTAATTGAAATTAGATATTATCATCTGTGGATGCCTTCTCTGTAGTCAGGAACTTAAGCGTTCCAGATGTCGAGTTGCCAATGAATATCACTGAGGAGTTACACACTAGGAAAATGCTATTGTTGATGCTATCACATGTTGACCTTACTCGGTAAACGGAACGAAGATCAACGATGCAGTGACACATGACAGGCTATTCTAATTCTATTACCGCAGGCCACGCTAACTAAAGGAAGAAGTCTTGATAAGACTTAGGGAGAATGTATTTCACAGACATCCAGAATATACGAGGTCCACAAGCACTTAAATCAAGCTCATTTATACAATGATAAAACGCTCTTGGTTACAGCCACAAAACAGCGTACTCAATATAATCCATCAACCAATGACAGTCAAGGATTTTTCGAGTGGGAAATGTAAATTGAAGGTCAACCAAGAATCTTTGGCGCGAAGACATAAAAATTCAGAATTTCAAAGAATATTTACAAAATTAAGACCTTTTCCAAGTGAATTCCAAACACAGCTGTCCAGTAATTCTCAATATCTAATAATGGTCTAGTTAATGTCAGCTGATGATTTGAAAACTGACGATCCTATCTTTTTTACAAATGTTCACATATGGATAATTGATGAAAAGTTTAAAAATAAATCAATAAAAACTTCCAGTTTGACGCTTTTGATACTGTTGTAGTGAATGAGAACACAGGTGGGGCAGCCGAATTGTATTTAGCGAAAATTACAGAGTTACTCAGTAAAATTGGAAAACCATATCGTAAATCGTTCATTTGCAAAACATCAGTTCATCCTATGGAACTGGACTGTTCCTGTTGCAAAACATCACTCCATTGTCACTATTCATGCGTTTCATACAAATCCCATTGTTTTCTAACTCTTCCTTTCTTGATCTTACCCCCATATTATGCTACCAGACTTTACGTTGACACTCACGTCATATACTACTTATAAGTAGTTCGCACCACAGCACCACACTGTTTATCATTGATTTATTTTTCATTGTCATAAAAATCACATTGTACTTTGTACAAATGTTTAACTTTTGTTCCTATCTATCCTAATGAATTTGTCATATAACATGTAATTAGTCGATTAGCTACAGAATTAGCAGAACAAGCTTTAGGTCAAATGTGGAGAAATTCAAATACTTCACTTCTTCTAACTGAAGTTCGTCCTACTGATGATAATGTTGTTCAGTAGAAGAACAATGAAAGCTCCATAACCAAAACATTCAGCTTAGAGAACGAAACACTATCACAATCATTCACTTGAGCTACAAATATTCTCCACCATTACAAAACCACTTTTTTTTAAAAAAATATTTATTTTGCACCTAGGTTTTATTGATACAATATGAAACAACAACATATTTTTAATAAGTTGTTGTCATTAAATGAACTTGTCTTATATTGAAGTACATTAAAACAAAATAGATTTCATATTAGAAATATATGTCTAATCATTCTTGTTGCATATAAGTTGGAAAGAATTGAAGTGATTTCTGTTGAAGCCTATTGATACATTCATTCATGATTGTTTATTCATGTTTTTTTTTCTGGTTCTTAGTTTATAACTACTTCATTGAAAATGTTTTTATTTAGTA